CATATTTTGAGTGCCAAGGAGCCGCAGCAGAGGGGTGAAAGAGCCACATGCGGCTCCAGAGCTGCAGGTTGCTGACCTCTGAGGGACTGAGGGACCAAACTTGCCTGTATAACTAATGGGATTTTTCTCCTTGTGTTTTTCATCCTATACCCAACCTTTCCTTTTATTTTATTTTTCCAGGGAATTTCCGGCTGCCGGACCAACTGGTCACCCTCAATGTTAAACATGGGGTAGAAGCTATGAATTATGAAAACGTAAGTCAAATTTTTGTAGCTGTGAATGTTGTTAAGTTCAGATAACAGGCTGCATTCAAACCACAGAATTAACACGGTTGCCCAATTAACTCACTTTCTAGGTTTGCAAAGTGCAGCCCATCATCAAATAACTTAACAGAGTCAGTGAGGGAAACCAGATTCACTTAACAACCATACAATTCACTTTAACAACTGCAGGGATTCACTTAACAACCATGGTTAAAAAAAAGGTCGTAAAATGGGGGACGACTCCCTTAATAACCGTCTTGCTTAGCAAAGGAAATTTTGATCCCAATTATGGCCGTAATTTGAGGTGGATAAGCTCGTTTGTGGAAAAAAAAAATCCAGTTGTTCACCATGTTACAGAAATATCCTTTGAGGACTGGTAACTTGATTAGGCGTGCGATGTGACGACAGCCGTTAATGGTGGCGCTACTTCGCTTCACTTCTCCCTGTTGGCGCCTGGGAGGGATCAGGATGACATCACAAGCGTGATGATGTCACTGCAGACGTGAGGTCACTCGTCCCCTCTTCCCCCGCCAAACTCTATGGTTTTTCTGCCAGGTCGCCAAAGCGGAGAAGTTGAAACCGTTGGAGATCGACCTCCGTCGCCTGGAGGACCTTTCCGAGTCCATCGTCAAGGATTTCGCCTTCATGAAAAAACGGGAAGAGGAGATGCGCGATACCAACGGTGAGGCCGGACTTTCTCATTGGGGATTTGAACCGCTGCTTTTCTGGACAGCTGACCCCAAGAAAAACGGCAGAACGTACCACTTTTGCATCCGCTGCCCCTTTTGTTTCCAACCTTCTCTAGTTCTGAACTCCCAGGGAAGCCAAAACTTGGTGTTCTCTAGCCTTAGACACTGTGTGGACTTCAATTCCCAGAATCCCCCAGCCAGCCAGCATGCACTGACTCTGATTGTAAACTTGAAGTTAAAGAGCAAGGAGATTCAAGCTATATGTCGATATGAGCCACCAATCAATTTTCCTTCTAACAAGGGTTAGATACCAATAGCAATCGTACTGAGACTTATATACCGCTTCACAGTGTTTTACAGCCCTCTCTTAAGCGGTTTAAGCCAACCTCTTGCCCCCCAACAATCTGGGTCCTCATTTTACCCACCTCAGAAGGACGGAAGGCTGAGTCAACCTGGATCCGGTCAGGATTGAACTGCTGGCAGTGGGCAGAGTAAGCCTGCATTCTAACAGGAAGGAAGGAAGGAAGGACAATAGTACTTAGGCTTATATACCGCTTCACAGTGCTTTACAGCCCCCTCTAAGCGGTTTACGGAGTCAGCCCATTGCCCCCAACAATCTGGGTCCTCATTTTACCGACCTCGGAAGGACGGAAGGCTAAGTCAACTTTGAGCCAGTCAAGATTGAACTGCTGGCTGTGGGCAGAGTTAGCCTGAAACATGACACTCTAACCACAGGGAGAATGTCAGAGGGAGGGAGGGAAGGAAGGAAGGAAGGAAGGAAGGAAGGAAGGAGGGAAGGAAGGAAGGAAGGAAGGCTGAGTCAAACCTTGAGCCTGGTGAGATTCGAACTGCCAAATTGCAGTCAGCCGGCAGTCAGCAGAAGTAGCCTGCAGTACTGCATTCTAACCACTAAGCCACTATGGCTCATCAGATCATAGATTCTCAATCTTGGCAGCCTGAGGATGGGCACATTTCAACTCCCAGAATCCCCCCCACCAGCATGTTTTGACTTAGATTGACAACTTGGGGTTAACAAACAAGGCGATTCAGTGTAGACCTCAGTTATTGTCCGTATGAGCCATCTGCCAGTTCTCCTTCAAACAGGCTAGATTAGAGTTTCTCAACCTTGATTGCGGAATTCTGGGAGTTTAGGTCTCGTGAAATATGCTGGTTGGCAAATTCTGAGTGTTGAAATCCATCCCTCTTAAGGCATGCTGGTTGGGGAATTCTGGGAATCGAAGTTCCACTCATATTAAAGTATTCTGGCTGGGGAATTCTGGGAGTTTGCAGTCCACATGTCTTCCAGTTGAGAAGTACTGAGCTAGATAGTCACTTGTCAGAGGATTGATTTAACGCACTTAACAATCCCGTCACTTAACAACAGAAGATCCGGTCCCAATTTTAGTCGTAAGCCGAGGACTATCTCTGTAGTCCAATTTAGCATGTTGGTTGAGTATCCTAGTTAAAGGTCTGCGAAGAAACAGTGGTGAAGCCAATGATGATTTGGCTGCATTCAGGACCAGAAGTTAAACATGGCCAGTTTAAGACTTGCAGGCTTCAACTCCCACAATCCCTCAGCCAGCCATGTTTGGTCCCCAAATTTTGCCAGTTGTGGACTTGTGGACTTCAATTCCCACAATTCCTCAGCCAGCTATGCTTGGTCCCCAAAGTTGGCCGGTTGAAGACTTGTGGACTTCAACTCCCAGAATTCTTCAGCCAGTCAGTCACATTGGCTAGGGAATTCTGGGAGTTGAAGTCCCACAAGTCTTAAAGTCACCACGGTCTTCGTAACTGCCATCCGCCGTGTTGTTGATCCTTCGTCTACTTTCTTTTTGCAGAATCCACCAGCACTCGAGTTTTCTACTTTAGCATTTTCTCCATGCTGTGTCTGGTCAGCTTAGCCTCCTGGCAGGTGTTCTATCTACGACGGTTTTTCAAGGCCAAAAAACTCATCGAGTGACGGAGACCCGATCCAGGATTCCTGGTCTCCTTACCTGATTGTGCCAAGATCTCGGGACAAACCACTTTTTATCTCCTCACTGGCCCTCCGATCTCAATGGAGGGGTGACACGGAAATTGGACTCTTTCGGGCCACAGATTGCTTTGAAAAAACAGCCCGTCTTCTCTGTTTTGGGTGTGTTTCTTTTCTCTTGGACTCATCTGGGTGATTTTTCTCACCATCTCTGCATCTTTGGGGTGGGGTTGGAGGGCGGGCATCCGATCTGACTGTTACGCAATTTGAGCACACTGGATGATAACTGTATTTGGAAGTAATAAATCTTGGTTCCTAGACTGGCGGCTGTTGGTGAAGAAAACTCGTTTTGAAACTTGAGTTGGGAAGAAAAGTTTTCAAAGTCAGAAATATTAGATTGAGGGCTATTACTTAACCCAGTGATGGCTAACCTTTTTGCCATTGCATGCCAAAAGCAAGGATCGCACAGAGGGGTCGCGCATGTGCGCACCCATAATTCCATGTGCTCTTCCCCCCGGCGCGTGCATGTGTGACCCCCCCACGCTCCCCCCACTTTTGGCACGCGATGGCACGGTGGGCCCAGTAGGCCTGTTTTTTGCTCTCCCCAGGCTCCAGAGCCTTTCTAGGAGCCTGGGGAGGATGAAAACGGCCTTCTCCACCCCCCCAGGCCCTCCGGAGGCAGGAAACAGCCTGTTTCCCTACTTCCGGTGGGCCCAGAAGGCCCAAAAATCAGCTGGCCAGCGCACGCATCTGTGGCACGCGTGCCATAGGTTCGCCATCACGGTCTTAACCCATGATGTTGGTGAGTTCACTCATCTCCCTAAGGCTAAGCCATTATTTCTCCAACTTTTAAGATCAGGGCTTCAAGAAGTCCCAGAATTCCCCAGCGAGCCAGCTAGGCTGACTGGGGAATTTTGGGACTTGAAGTCCAGACATCTCAAAGTTGCTAAGATAAATACTGCTCTTAAACAGTAATGCCACTGGATTATTTTAATTGGACATAGATATGACGTCACAGGTTCCAAACATCTTCCGTCACTTTGCAATAATATTAGTACTCATATAAACATATACTTTATAATGAAACTTTGTTCATTATTTAAACAATCTAATATTAATAATTTTTCCCTTATTTCTATATATTTATTCATCTCTAAACATACATTTATCTATAATAACATCTGTATTTTTATTCTAACACTGTACATTTGTCTTGGCTGTCCTCTTGTTATCTATCCAATCATAAAATTGTTCCCGGATTTTCCTGGTTTTGCTTTTATCCTTGAGTTCCAAAGTGAGTCTGTCCATTTCTGCGCAGTTAAAAGATTTTCAGTAATATTTCCTCTTCAGTTGGAATATCTTTCTCTTTCCATTTTTGAGCGAAGGCTATCTGTGCCGCCGTGAGCATATGCAGCAATAGATCATTGTATCTTTCTTATATTTTCTTTCTATAATTCCCAATAAGAAAAACTCCGGTTTGACTTCTATATTTGTTGACAACATTTCTTCCAGCCAATTCTTTATTAAATTCCACATTTGGAAATGCAACTAATTCATTGCACACTTTTATTTTTTTAAAGGGGTTAACCCCCCCTTGTGGGCTATGAATCCCAGGACTGACTCTGTGTATAAATCACTGTACACCCCACCCCACCAATAAATGTTGGGATACCCCGAACCCAAAAGGATCAGAATAAGTAATCTGTCCACACGGTCAACCAAACTTTTTTAACATTATTTCAGGGTTCTCCAAACTTGTCAATTTTAAGACTTGTGGACTTCAACTCCAGAATCCCCCAGTTAGCATAACTGGCTGAGGAATTCTGGGAATTGAAGTCCACAAGTTGTTTGGAGAGCGCTGCCTTATTTCAAAAGCTGGCAGACAAGACAAAAGGAAAATGTGAAGTCGGTCTCGGAAGCTTCCCGGTGCGGGTCACTCTTACCTTTTTGGAAGTTTATGAGCCTGTTGAGGGGAGGACTCATTTTCGCGATGCGCCCATTGCGCGCCGTGGGGGTTTCCCATAGCAACGGGCTTTCGCAGGCGGGGACTCCTTTTCGCGTTGCACCCATTGCCCGTCGTGAGGTTTCCATGGCAACGGGCTTCGCGGCCTAGCAGGGAAGGCTTCCAGGGCCATGGCGATGGCTGCGTCTTCTGGAGGCGCCGGCGACGGGTAAACAAACGCCCGGGAAACAACGGCATCCAATCAGGGATTATAGCGAGCACAGCCCTTCAGGGCAGAAAAATGTTGTGAGGGGGATGAGAAAAGGAGCCAATTCTCACTCATTTTCCCCCTTCTGGGTCCGCTTTTAGGGGCTGGGGATTCCATTTGTATGGAAAGGAGGCTCCTTGGGAATTTAGCTCTGCATTAAAACTACCATCGTGTTTCTCAACCTTGGCAACTTGAAGATGGGTGGACTACAACTCCCAGAATTCCCCAGCCAGCTTGCTTGAAGATGGGTGGATTACAACTCCCATAATTCCCAGCCAGCATGTTTTAAGATGGGTGGATTACAACTCCCATAATTCCCAGCCAGCTTGCTTTAATATGGGTGGACTACAACCAGCATGTTTTAAGATGTGTGGACTTCAACTCCCATAATTCCCCAGCCAGCATGCTTTAAGACGGGTGGACTTCCTTTCCCAGAATCCCCCAGCCAGCAATTGAAGTCTTCCTATCTTAAAGCATGCTGGCTGGGGGATTCTGGGAAAGGAAGTCCACCCGTCTTCAAGCTACCAAGGTTGTGAAACACTGATCTGCCATGTTAAAATATAACTTTTTTTTTGCTTTTCATTTTTTTTTTTCTGTGGTTGCCACCAGTTTTCGCACCAGTTCCAAATGGCTGGATGCCTATTACGATCCAGTTGCCAATTTGCACACCTTTTCCTCGTGTGTCAGTAAGTTTGAGATCCTTTTTCCCCCTCTTCTTTCCATTTTTTGGGGAGGGGTGGAGTGAACTCTAGAAGTCATGGTGGGTGCTCCAACATTGGAGGTTTTCAAGAAGAGATTCGACTATCCAGAATGGCTTGAATAAGGGGTTGGACTAAATGACCTCCGTGGTCCCTTCCATCCCTATGTGTCTAAACTGGCAGTGCAAGCTATTTTTAGTGTCATGGTGGTGGTCCTGGCTTAGAAATCAGGAAACAGCGAGTTTTAAAACTCATCCTGCCTTAGGCATGAAAGCCAGCTGGGTGTCTTTGGGCCAGTCTCTGTCTCATAGCCCAATCAACCTCACAGGGTTGTTGTGGGGAAAATAGGAAAATGAAAGAGTATTAAACATGCTTGCTGCCCTGAGTTTTAAATATACATAAAAGGCGGGATAATAAAATGGAATGGAATGGAACGTAGAATAGAATGGGAAACAGAATAGAACAGAAAATAATAGACCTGAATGGAAAAGAAAGCAAAAAGAAAAGAGAGAGTGATAAGAACCCCACACTCATTTGTGCTGATGATGTTACCTACTTGGATAATAAAACGTCTGCAAGGAAAGAACTAACTTCAGAGGGCACCAGAGACTTTGCAGTTCAACTTTCAGCTCTAGAACATATTCCAGGATTCCCTCTGTCTGCTCTTGGTAGGCTTTGATAAGCTTATATACAATTGTCCTCTCATTGACTGTTAATTTTCTTCTAGCTCTGGCTGACCTGCATGGGGATGGAGACCACAAGGTAAAAGAAAATATCCCTATCGTAGATAGAAAATCCCTAGCCAACGTTTCCCATTTCCATCCAGGATATAAATCCACAACCCCTTTTTAGCGCTTAGTGGGCGCTAAACAAACGATTGGAAATCAAAGATGACCTGAATATATAGTATATTTTTTTCAGTCTGTTGTAATTTTGAACAGTCGCTAAGCAACTCGTCATAAGTGGAGGACAATTTGTATCCACCTTGGTGATGATTTAAAGAAGCCAATCATGTTATATTTGTTCTCTCTCTCTCTCTCTCTCTCTCTCTCTCTCTCTCTCTCTCTCTTCTTCTCTCTCTCTCTCTCTCTCTCTCTCTCTCTCTCTCTCTCTCTCTCTGCTGCAGTTAGTGGTGGGCAATTTTGGCTCGACGGGCCACGAGATGAAGTTGAAGGTCTACCAGGGTACTACTGTCTTGAGTGAAAACACCCTGCCGGATTTACCCACAAGCGTGGTTTCCTTTCTGATGGAGCTACACGAGCCACGCATGCCAGCCCTGGCTGTGGCTTCTGGGCCGTACATCTACGTCTACAAGAACCTGCGTCCCTACTTCAAGTTTACTCTGCCGCCGATGGAGCCCAACCCGATGGAGAAAGTGGTCTGGGATCAGGCAAAGGAGGTGAGGGGAGAGAGAGAGAGAAAAAAACCCCCAGGTTTTAAATGAATGCATTTGAGTGGCACAAAGATGCCAAGTTTTGAATCTTATGGTCCTGCTCTTTTGGGAGGGGTGGGGGTGTCTTTTTTCTTCTTCTTAAAAGAGTCTGTTGATGACTTATCTGCTGGCATCTCTTGATCCATGAATGAGCCAGCTTGATTTAGTAGTGGTTAAGGCACCAGGCTAAAAACAAGGAGACAGTGAGTTCTAGTCCTGCCTTAGGCATGAAAGCTGGCTGGCTGACTTTGGGCCAGTTACCAGGGGATGGTGAGTTCTAGTCCTGCCTTAGGAATCAAAGCCAGCTGGGTGTCTTTGGGCCAATCACCAGGAGATGGTGAGTTCTAGCTCTGCCTTAGGAAAGGAAGCCGGCTGGGTGTCTTTGGGCCAGTCACCAGGAGACAGTGAGTTCTAGTCCTGCCTTAGGAATGAAAGCCAGCTAGGTGACTTTGGGCCAATCACCAGGAGATGGTGAGTTCTAGTCCTGCCTTACAAATGAAAGCTGGCTGGGCCTATCACTCTTTGCCAACCCATCCCACCTCACAGGATTGCTGTTGTGGGGAAAATAAGAGGAAGTAGGTGTGCTAGATATGTTCTCCACCTTGACTCCTTCCTCTTCCACCTCTTCCTCCACCTCCACCTCCTCCTCTTTTTTTGCATGTATGCTGAGTTCTTCTGCACCGGAGACAAATTGTGGGTGTAATCACAACTTGGCCAAATAAAATATCCGATTCAATTCAGGTTTTTTGTTTATCCCAAAAAAGAGACTTAAATAACCACCCCTCTTATAGCACTTATATTCCGCTTCAACAGTGCTTTTACAGCCCTCTCTAAGCGGTTTTACACAGTCAGCCTCTTGCCTCCAACAATCTGGGCCCTCATTTTACCCACCTTGGAAGGATGGAAGGCTGAGTCAAACCTTGAACCTGGTGAGATTCGAACTGCCAAATTGCAGGCAGCCAGCAGACAGCAGAAGTAGCCTGCAGTACCGCACTCTAACCACTGCGCCACCGTGGCTCATTATAAGCATAATCCTGGGGGTTTCATTATGTGCCTTTTTTCTCTCTCTCTCTCTCCGCACAGGACAAGGTTGATCTTTTGTCAATGAAAGAGATGCTGGAAGCTATCAGGTAAGAGAATCTTGACCCCACACAAGGTGAATTGTCTGTTCTTCCGATCCATTTTTTGGTGGTTGGTGAGGGACGGGGTTGCAGAAATATAGACAGGAAATGGGCAGCGGATTGTTTAAAACAGTGTTTCTCAGCCTTTAGCAACTTTGAAGATATCTTCCATCATTTCAGACAAATGATTGTCCAGTCTCTTCTTAAAAACCTTTTCTGGGAGGTGGGGAGGGAGGGAGGAAGGAAGGAAAAAAGAGAAGGATGAAGAAGAAAGAGGAGGAGGAAAAGAGAAGGAGAAAAAGAGGAGGGAGGGAGGAAGGAGGAAGGAAGGAAAAAGAAGGAAGGATGAAGAAGAAAGGAGGGAGGGAGGAAAGGAAGGAAGGAAGGAAAAAAGGATGAAGAAGAAAGGAGAAAAAGAGAAAGGGAGGGAAGGAAGGAAAAAAGAGAAGGAAGGATGAAGAAAGAGGAGGAGGAAAAGAAGGAGAAAAAGAGAGAGGGAGGGAGGAACGAAGGAATAACAGTCGGAAGGGACCTTGGAGGCCTTCTAGTCCCACCCCCTGCCCAGGCAGGAAACCCTGTCCCATTTTGGAAAAAATGGTTGTCCAGTCTCTTCTTAAAAACGTCCAATGTTGGAGCATCCACAACTTCTAGAGGCGTCCAGGTTCAGCTTGAATTTGAGTGGTGAAGTCCTCTTGGCTCTTCGCTGTATCCGTAGCTCATTCTAACGTGTGTCTTCTCTTCTTCCTTCCCAGAGAAAATGCCGAAATGCCCCTCTCGGTGCAATCTTTGAGGTGAGCGTCTCACATTGGAGATGTTGGCTTGTGTGGAACATCACACCAGTTGTGGGAAATGTGCTCTCTTTTTTGGGGGGGTGGTACTTCTTGACCTGGGAATCTATATCGGAAGTCCTCGACTTTCAACCAGGATTGAGCCCCAAAAGTCTGTTGCTGAGCAAGACTGTTGTCGAAGGAATGCCGCCCCGTTTTACCCCCTTCCTGGCCACCGTTGTTAAGTGAATTGCGCTGTCGTAGCTTTGATTGGTCACTAAACGGGCTGTTGTAAGTTGAGGACTGCCTCTATTTCTCTCACCGCCTTTTCTCTTCTCCATAGGTTCCTGACCCTCGACCTCCCTGAGATGGAGCCCTTTGTGAACCAGCATAAGTTCCTGCCCATCAAACGTCAGGTCCGTACTCTTGAATCTAATAGCGGAGTTCGTTTAGTGACCGTTCAAAGTTACGACGGCATTTTTTATTGGGGATTGTACCTAAAATATACAATGGAGAATTGAGATATTTGATTGTGAATGTATTAACAGCGGCTAGAATTGTGTTTGCTAAAAATGGGAAAAATGAGAAAATGCCAACGCAAGAGGAAGTTATAAAGAAAATAATGGAATGTGCAGAAATGAGTAAATTGACATTTGAAATTAGAGAAGAAAAAGATAATACTACAAGATATGGGACCTATTTTATCAATGGTTAGATAAAAAGACATGGAAATGAAATAAGGCAGAGTTTTTCTAATACAAGAAATGTAGAATTATATTAAAATATAATATAAAGATGTATTTGTCAACTTGCAAAGCTTTCAAGTTGCCATGAGCAGGAGGGAGGGAGAACTGATAGAGCTGATTGATTTCCCTAACTGAAGTGCATTCCATACATTCTTCCTGACCGCAATCAGAAGGAGGGTGTTGGATTTCACAGCCAGCCAAAGTGGTTAATTGGAGAATGTGATTTGTGACATGGCCAGAGAGGAGGGGAGAGACAGGGTCATAGGGGAACGTAAATCTATGTGGGATTAGTTCTAACTGCATCCAAATATTGCTGAAGTGGTGCTCCTAATAAATGACTGTATTTCTTTTGAAGTTCCGCTCATGAATTAATTAGGGCATTTTTCGGAAACTTCACAGTATTATTATTGGAATGATTTAAGAGGATGAAATGAATGGCATAATACAAATTAACTCAAATTTTAGACTCTTTTGTATGAAACGAAGGAAGAAACAGCCATGGTTAAACATATGATTAATGAGGATAATAATACACGGATATATATGAATAGGGTGAAGATGCACAAAGGGCTTGTAACCAACCGACACACTGTTTGTATTTGTAATTGAAGATGGTTTTTTATTTTATTTTTTTATATATATTTGTTTAAAAATAAATTAAAAAAAAAAACCCAGAAAGTTATGACGGCCCTGAAAAAAATACAGAGTATTTTCGAAGTTGGTTGGATAATAAGAGGTAGAAATTAGGAACGGAAAAGTATTGTTATATAAGCAAAATGATCCAGACATATGTATATAATGTGAAAATGGTAAAAAAGAAATAATTATTTTTTTAAAAAGCTGACTTACGACCGTTTTTCATAGTTACAACCTTTGCAGCATCCCCGTGATCGCGGGATCAAAATTCAGATGCTTGGCAAGCGACTCATATTTACGACAGTTGTGGCGTGCTTGGGTCACGCGTTCCTCTTTTGCGGCCTTTCGACGAACGAAGTCAGCGGGGAAGCCAGCTTCTCTTAGCCAATTACTCATTTAACAAGTGTGACGATTCACTTAACACCTGTGGCAAGGAAGGCCGTAAAATGGGGCAAGACTCACTTAGCAAATATCTTGCTTAACGATGGAAATGTGGTCGTAAGTCGAGGACTACCTCTAATTCAGTTGGCTGGTTAATGGAATAAAATGCCTTCTTTATTTTTCTGGGCTACTGTGGTGTTTGTTTTTTTCAGACGGTGATCACCTGTATGGCCACTCTGAAGAAGAACCGGGTGGAGGAGGACGCGATCAGCTGCTTGGTGGTCGGGACGGAGAACATGGAAATCCTGATCCTGGACCCAGAAGCCTTCACCATCTTGTCAAAAGTGAGGCTCTACACCTGAATTTTGCATACCGTGTGTACCCCCTTTGCGATATAAACCTCCCAGGTTTCACAGGCAGAAGTCCAACCCAGGGCTCTCTTTTCCCCTTGTAGGTGGCCATACCAAGCGTGCCCGCCTTTCTGGACATCGCAGGCCAGTTTGACGTGGAATACTATCTCACCGTGGCATGTCGGAACGGTAGCATTTACATCCTTCGCAGGTATGTGATCCCACCAGCAGCAAAGGACCTGCTCCGGAGCAGACGGTAGATGAAGTACATTCAAGCCACGGACATCAGCCACTTCCCAGAGCATCCCATAATAAACACGATATTTTAGAAAAGCCGTAATTGGTGTAAGATGATCGTATTATGAGAGATTGTGGCACAGTGGGAAAAGAATGGAAGGGAAAACAGACAATAAATCAAGAGTTTCACGACCTTGGCAACTTGAAGATGGGTGGACTTCAACTCCCAGAACTCCCTAGCCAGCCATGGAATTCTGGGAGTTGAAGTCCACCAGTCTTAAAACATGCTGGCTGGGGAATTCTGAGAGTTTTATTTATTTATTTATTTATTTATTAAATATTTATACCGCCCCCTCTCCCGAAGGACTCGGGGCGGTGAACAGCCAAAATTAAAACACACAATACAAATATTAAAATACAATTAAAGTTCACACATCAAAGCATACTGCTGGAGAATTCTGGGAGTTGAAGTCCAGACATCTTTTAAAGTGTGTTGGCTGGGGAATTATGGGAATTGATGTCCAGATATCTTAAAACATACTGGTTGGGGAATTCTGGGAATCGAAGTCCACCTATTTAAAGCATGCTGACTAGGGAATTCTGGGAGTCAAAGTCCACCTATTTAAAGCATGCTGACTAGGGAATTCTGGGAGCTGAATTCCACCCATCTTAAAGCAGGCTGGCTGGGGGATTCTGGGAGTCAAAGTCCACCTATTTAAAGCATGCTGGCTAGGGAGTTCTGGGAATTAAAATCCACCTATTTAAAGCATACTGGCTAGGGAATTCTGGGAGCTGAATTCCACCCATCTTTAAAGTTGCCAAGTTTGAGAAACTTTGGCTTGTAGCCTCCTTGTTCATTGATAAGAGGCACTTAGATTTTTGCATTTTCTGACCCATTGGAACCATGTCCCCCTGCTCCATCCGTGAATTTTTTCCCCTGTTTTATTTTTCCACACAGGGACTCCAAGCGGCCCAAATACTGCATCGAACTGAGCTCCCAAGCCGTGGGTTTGGTTCGAGTCCAGAAGAACATCATGGTGGCTTGCTCAGATGAGACGCTGCGAGGCTACAACCAGAAGGTTAGGGATAGCGAGTTGTGCCCGTGGGCAAAATTGTTGCTACGAGGGTGTGTGTTTGCGCAGAGCTTAGCGGCTCTCTTAATCCGGGGCACCGTGTGAAAAGCAAACCACATTTGCCATCAGAACATAGCTGGGGTTCATAGCAGCTAGAGTCGCTTTTAATTTTATTTTTATTCAAAAAAAAATAAAATACAAACTTTAAATTTAAACAAAATGCCCACAAAGACCAAACGAAGAGACGGGTAACCCCTACAGCAGAGGATCACTAGTATTGACAGTACGGATTGTATCTGAGGCAGTAGATGGTGTACTATCACATGATCTATCTATATTTGTATAATATACTCCCCTTCTATGTGTATTTTAATTTGGTCTCTGACCGCAATAAAAAGCTTGCTTACTTACAAACGAAGCATTAAAAAGGAGATCTATACATATGCAAAAACATACACTGTGCTCCCTAGTTCAGGGATCGGCAACCTTAAACACTCAAAGAGCCATTCAGACCCGTTTCCCACAGAAAAGAAAACATCGGGAGCCATAAAATCCTTCCCATGCCTGACTATTTCTCGAGTGGCCACAAAACTAGCATATGTGGTTGAATTAAATGTTCTGTTTTCTTCTGAAATTTTTCTTTTCTTGGATTTATCCATGGTTGAAAAGCTCAATAAATCGCGTGCCGGCGGGTGTCGCACATTGGTGGTTGTGACACGTATTTAAAGTAAAATGGAGTCCGGTCGTGTGGTGGGTGGTTCAATTTACGACCACAACTCATTTAACCGACGTCTCGTTTCACAATGACAGAAATCCATGCTCCATTGTGGTGGTGAAGTCCTAAGACTTCCCGCTATATTCTTCTGCAATGCCTTTGAACAATCCTGAAGGGGGCAGTGTTGCTCTGCCCAAACTCCTCCAGGAAGCAAAGGAATATAGAGGAGCGCAGTTTACAAGGGACCTTGGAGGTCATCTAGTCCAACCCCCAGTTCAAGCAGGGGCCCCTGTGATTTTCTGACACACACACTCACACCTCTTCTTGTACCAGGGGAAGAAACTCTGGGCGGTGACGTTGTCGGCGACCCCCATCACTTTGGGCCTCATGGATGAGAAACTGCAAAATTTCCAGGCTGTATTGGTGTCGCTGGCCAACAGGGAAATTCATGTTTATCGGGATAAGAACCTCGTCAACGTCATCCAGGTGCCGGTAAGATTCCAAGCTTCGGGAATATTTGTGGGCATCCTATCGAGTTTATGCCAACCCACTTCCTTTGCAGCTGCCTGGACTTCCACCTCGTTGCTCATTTTGGGAATTAATATTACAGGGGGTCCGAAACAGGCCTTAAATCTATATACTTCTGCTCATCTACAGGGGATGCGGTGGCTCAGCGGCTAAGACACTGAGCTTGTCGATCAGAAAGGTCGGCAGTTCAGCGGTTCGAATCCCTAGTGCCGCGTAACAGGGTGAGCTCCCGTGACTTGCCCCAGCTTCTGCCAACCTAGCAGTTCGAAAGCACGTAAAAGAAATGCCAGTAGAAAAATAGGGACCCCCTTTGGTGGGAAGGGAACAGCGTTCCGTGCGCCCTTGGCATTGAGTCATGCCAGCCACATGACCACGGAGACGTCTTCGGACAGTGCTGGCTCTTCGGCTTTGAAACGGAGAGGAGCACCGCCCCCTAGAGTCAGGAACGACTAGAACATATGTGCGAGGGGAACCTTTACCCTGTTTCCTCAAAAATAAGACATCCCCTGATAATAAGCCCAATCGGGCTTTTGAGCGCATGTGCTAAAATAAGCCTCGCCCCCAAAAAAAATAAACCCTCCCCGAAAATATTTAAACGCAGAGCTGGAAATCAGGTAAGACGGCAAGAGGAGCCCCATCTTGCTCCATGCTCCCCCAAAATAATAAGACCTCCCCAAAAATAAGACCCAACCGGAAAATAAGTCCTAGCATTTTTTCAGGATGCTTGTAATATAAGCCCTACCCCAAAAATAAGCCCCAGTTAAGATTGTCAGCCAGATGGATGCATTTAATACCGTATTTCCCCAAAAATAAGACCTAACCGGAAATGAAGCCTTAATGTGTCGTTTGGAGCAACAAATTAAGATAAGACCCGGTCTTATTTTCAGGGAAACACGGTAAATCCAATCCCTTAGAGACCGTTTGAAGCTGCAACAGACGCATAACACCTCAACTCCCTGCCAAAAGGTACTTAAGGACTTGGTTTGGCAGCTGTGATGTGTGATCGCATGTTAGTTGCTTTGGCAACAGGCCCGCAACTGCATCTATTTGCAGCCTCCCAAGGTCATGTGACCACGATTTTTACAATAGCTTTGCTGAAAACCTGCGTTTCCTTCTGGTTTTGGGTGGGGAACTCAGGTAGTCCTCGACTTACCACAGTTGGTAAGAACAACCGTGTGACTTAATTTTATCCATGGCAGTGAATCGCTTAACGACATCTGGCAAAGCCCACTTAACAAACTCTTCACTTAAGAGCAGAAATTTGGGGCTCAGTTGCAGTTATAAATCCTGGAATGGCTTTGGCTTAACAAGTGCCGATTCATTTAATGGCTGCAGCGATTTGCTTAATGACCACCACAAAAACAATAGGTTGCAAAATGGGGTCCGGCGTGCGATGTCCCGGTTTCATGACCATCGCAAGTGATGACTCTCACGGCAGGCTCCATGAGGGTCGTAAGTCGAGGACTACCAAGAAAGCCTGTCAAACATACGACGTCCCACTTCGGCTTGGAAGGATCCAGCGAAAATATGCAGCTCCTCTCCCTCTCGGGGTTTCCAATTTCACTCCTTCGTCACTGACCAATTTTCCTTGTTTCCTGATTCTTGGCAGGACGTCGTCACCAGCATCGCTTTCGGCCACTACGGACGAGAGGACAACACCCTCATCATGACAACCAAAGGTGTGAATGTAAACGAGCTAGGTTCGGGATCCGATCTGGGTCGGTCCAAGGGACCAGAGGTTTTGTCTTCCGAACTTTCGGACTCGTGCTGCAGCCCAGCCCCATGGAACTTCTCTCTGGCCAGAATGTGGGTGCTCCTTGGCCAAACGCAGCCTCTCATTTTTTCCCTGGCCTGGTGAAGCTGGCTGCTTAAGCCTTTTCGTCATTCACGGGAGCAGGACAGCTAGCCTTCCTTTAACAGATTTCTTTAATAGAGTTGGAAGGGACCTTGTAGGTCATCTAGTCCAACCCCTTACCCAAGCAGGAGACCCTACCCCATTTCTGACAAATGGCAGTCCAGTCTTTTCTTGGAAGCCTCCAGGGATGAAGCTCCCACAACTTTGAATGCAACTTCTGTTCCACGGGTTGATTGTTCTCACTGTCAGAAGATTCCTCCTTATTTCCAGGTTGAATCTCTCCTTGATTGGTTCCCATCCATCATTCCTTGTGGGGCCTTCAGGTGCCTTGGAAAACAGCTTGACCCCCTTCCTCCTCTCTGTGGCAGCCCCTCAAATATTGGAAGATGCTCTCCTGCCTCCCCTGGTCCTTCTCTTCACTAGACTAGCCAGGCCCAGTTCCTGCAACCGTTCATCGTATATTTTAGTCTCCAGGTCTTTAAGCATCTTAGATAGATTCAGACTGGAGGCTAAAACACAGAATGAACGGTTGCAGGAACCGGGCACGGCTAGTCTAGTGAAGAGAAGGACCGGGGGAGACAGGAGAGCATCTTCCAATATTTGAGGGGCTGCCCCAGAGAGGAGGAAGGGGGTCCAGCTATTTTCCAAAGCAGGCCAGACAAGGAATAATGGATGGAGAGATTCAACCTGGAAATGAGGAGGAATTTTCTGACAGTGAGAACAATCAACCCATAAAACAGAAGATGCCTTCAAAAGTTGTGAGAGCTTCATTCCTGGAAGCTTTCAAGAAGAGATTGGACAGCCATCTTTCAGAAATGGTGTAGGGTTTCCTGCTTAGGTTGGACTAGATGACCTACAAGGTCCCTTCTAACCCTGTTATTCTATGTTTTAGCCTCCAGTCCCCTCATCATCCTGGTTGCTCTTCTCTGCACCCTTTCTAAAGTCTCAAAATCAGTGTCCGTGATGCCTTGAGTCTGCCCGTCCCACTTCCAACTTTTATATCTTCTCCAGGTGGGGGTCTTATCATCAAGATCTTGAAACGCACCAGCACTTTCCATAAGGGGGACGCAACAGCCGGTGTTCCTGTTGCCCAGACCACCAAACTCAACGTGCCCAAGAAAACAAAACTCTACGTGGACCAGACACTGCGGGAACGAGAATGTGGAGTGGGTGAGCAGAATCCAGGGTCCATCTCTCACTTTATTGTCCAGGGAAAGTGCTCGATTAGAAACTGGGTGGTCCTGAATTCTAGTCCCACTTCAGGCACAAAAACCTGCTGGGTGACTAGGAGATTATGAGTTCTAATCCTGCCTTAGGCATGAAAGCCAGTTGGGTATTTTGAATCATTAGGAGACAGTGAGTTCTAGTCCTGCCTTAGGTATGAAGGTCAGTTGGCCTAACTTTGGGCCAATCACCAGGAGATGGTGAGTTCTAGTCTCACCTTATACATGAAAGCTGGCTAGGTGACTTTGGCCAATCACCAAGTGATGGTGAATTCTAGTCCTACCATACACATGGAAGCTGGCTGGGTGACTTTGGGCCAATCACCAGGTGATGGTGAGTTCTAGTCCCGCCTTACACATGGAAGCTGGCTGGGTGACTTTGGGCCAATCACCAGGTGATGGTGAGTTCTAGTCCCGCCTTACACATGGAAGCTGGCTGGGTGACTTTGGGCCAATCACCAGGTGATGGTGAGTTCTAGTCCCGCCTTACACATGGCAGCTGGCTGGGTGACTTTGGGCCAATCACCAGGTGATGGTGAGTTCTAGTCCCGCCTTACACATGGCAGCTGGCTGGGTGACTTTGGGCCAATCACCAGGTGATGGTGAGTTCTAGTCCCGCCTTACACATGGAAGCTGGCTGGGTGACTTTGGGCCAATCACCAGGTGATGGTGAGTTCTAGTCCCGCCTTACACATGGAAGCTGGCTGGGTGACTTTGGGCCAATCACCAGGTGATGGTGAGTTCTAGTCCCGCCTTACACATGGCAGCTGGCTGGGTGACTTTGGGCCAATCACCAGGTGATGGTGAGTTCTAGTCCCGCCTTACACATGGAAGCTGGATAAGTGACTTTGGGCCAATCACCAGGAGACATTGAATGGCACTGAAAAGAGTGACTTATGACCATTTTTCACACTTAACAACCGTTGCAGCAACCCATGGCCCCAGGATCCAAATTCAGATATTTGGCAACTGACTCGTATTTGTGACCGTTTTCAGTGTCCCGGGGACACATGATTCCCTTTGGCGACCTTCCGACAAGCAAAATCCGTAAGGAAGCCGGATTCACTTAACAACCGTGTTTCCTAACTGAACAACTGCAGTGATTCACTTAATAATGGTGGCAAGAAAGGTCGTAAAACGGGGCAAAGCTCACTTAACAAATGTCTCGCTTAGCTTAGCAACAGAAATTTGGGGCTCCGTTGTGGTCGTAAGTCGAGGACTACCTATATAGTAAAGGGGGGGGTTTAAAATAGAAGAGCTCCTTCGCTTGCCTTCCATTCATCCTCCTCTCTTCTTCCCTTTTCCCAGCCATGCACCAAGTCTTTCAGACAGACCTCAGCCGCATCCGTCTCACGGCGGCCCGTGCCTACGTCCGGGCGCTGGAGTGCAGCATGACCCCCATCTCGGAGTCCCTGCAGGAGCCACTCAAGCTGAACGCCGTGGTGAGGAAGCCATTCAGAGCAGTGGTGAAATTCAAAAAAATTTCTGTGGGCGTGGCTTGGTGGGAGTGGCTTGGCGGTCATGTGACCGGGTGGGCGTGGCTGCACAACTGACACACACACACACACACAATGCAAAAGCAGCTGGACTTCACACAAAACGGCCCCTGCAACAAGCAGGAACTTCACAGGCAATCAAGCACAGCTGATTGTCTCACAGATGATCGATAGTAAAAAAAATGCTAAAAAAAAGTAAAAAAAAAAAGATTGTGCGGCAAAGCTGATCGTCGTACTTTTTAAACATTTTTTTTACTACCGGTTTGGGCGAATAGGAGCAATTATTCTTCGAGCCTCCGGGAGGGCGAAAATAGCCTCCCCTGGGCTCCAGAGACCGGAAACAGGCCCATTTCTGGACTTCTGGAACTTCTGAGAGGCCTGATTTTCTCCCTCCCCAGGCTCCAGAGGCTTTCTTTGAGGCTTCTTCAAAAACCCAGGAAGGGGGGTGGGGTAGGGACGTCCCCCCCCCCCCCACACACACGCTCCTCACATCACGCATGACTCCTGATCCCCGCGAATGCTCGCGCGTCTCCCACATGCACCCCATCCCCTGCGCATCTCAGAAATTGTGTTTGCTAAAACCTGGAAAAATGAGAAAATGCCAACGCAAGATGAAGTTATTAAGAAAATTATGGAATGTGCTGAAATGAGCAAATGGACATTTGAAATTAGAGAACAAGAAGATAAAACAATATTATAAGAGATGGGATTTATTTTATCAATGGCTAGATAATAAAACATGGAAACGAAATGGGGATAACGTAAGAGCAGTAGAAATATACAAAATGTAATACAAAGTTGTATGATTATAGTTGATCTAGGATGAAGGAACGCATGTTATAAATATAAATATTTGAAAATAATTTTTGATGAAATGAAGGGAAAGCCATAGTTAAATAAACGATTAATGAGGATTATATTGCAAAGATATTTATTAGACTGGTAATATGAGAAATTAGATAATTAGTAAGTAATGAATATGGTGAGGAAGCACAAAAGACTTGTAACCGACCGGCACACTGTTTGCAATTGTATGGATGATGGATTTATGTTTTATGTTTTGTTTTAAAAATAAAAAAATATTTCAAAAAAAAAAATTAGCTGAGCTGGGCTACGGCTCACATGCGGCACACATGCCATCGGTTCACCATCATGGATTTAGGACAATTGAAAACATTTTCCTTCTCTCTCTCTCTCTCTGACCCTTCCAGAGTTGAAATGCAAATTATCTTTTGGGCTTAGGGCGGGTTTTTTGGGGTGTCTCTCCTTGCCCCAGGTCCTTTGTCCTCATTTAATGCTGCTTCTTCCTCCTCTTCTTCCTCCCCCAGGTGCAGGGCATGGGCCCCACTTTCAAACTGTGCCTTAATCTCCAGAACATGTCCGAGAATCGCGCGATAGCAAATCTTCTCATTTGTTTCATTTACGATGAAAACCATTATTCCGTCGAACGTCCGTTCTTCAAGGTAACACTGCACCCTTCTCTGGCTTCCCCCCCCCCACCTCCTTTGGCTTTCCTCGTTGGAACCGTCCAGGAAGTTTGCAAATGGCAAATCACATGATACTGCAACCCAGGGGTGAAATGCTCCCGGTTCGGATCGGATCACCCGATCCGGTAGCGATGGCGGCGGGTGGTTCGGAGAACCGGTAGCAAAAATCCCTGCCCGCCTCCCCATGCCCAGCTGAGCCGCGCGATCATTAGAGGCTGGTTTTTTTTTTACTTTTAAAAGCATTTTAAAGGTTGACTCAGCCTTTCATCCTTCCGAGGTAGGTAAAATGAGGACCCGGATTGTGGGGGCAATAAGCTGACTTTGTATAAAAAAGAACACCGCTTAGGGGGGGCCGAAAGCCCTACTAAGCAGGTACATACAAAAATATGAAGGCTATTGCTTAACGCATTGTAAGCCGCCCTGAGTCTCCGGAGAAGGGCGGCATATATAAATTGAACTAATAGATAAGTAAGTAAATAAATAAATACATTTTTTCTACAACCTCTTCGGCCGAAAAAATGCTTTTGAAAAAAAAAAAAAAAGCCTCTGATGATCAAACAAACAAATGTTCGTTAAATCGAGGATTATCTGTATTTATTTCTCTTTTTTTTTTTTTTTTCAACTTTCTCTTCAGGCTCCGATGTTGATCCCAGGACTGAATTATCCTTTATCCACTTTTGTTGAGTGTCTCAGTGACCAAGCGATCTCGGATGTTATCAAGGTTGGTGGCCTTAAATTGGTTTTTCCCACCTGTTCAAGCCCCCAATCCTTCCGTTTAAAGAAAAGAAAGTTTAATGAAAAGAAGGACTCGGGGTGACATGATAGCAGAGTTCCAATATTTGCAATTACTGCAAGTTCAAATCTCACCAGGCTCAAGGTTGACTCAGTCTTCCATCCTTCCGAGGTAGGTAAAATGAGGACCCGGATTGTGGGGGCAATAAGCTGACTTTGTATAAAAAAAGAACACCGCTTGGGGGTGGCCGAAAGCCCTACTAAGCAGGTATATACAAAAGTATGAAGGCTATTGCTTAACGCATTGTAAGCCTCCCTGAGTCTCCGGAGAAGGGCGGCATATAAAATGAACCAATAAATAAACAATAAATAAATATTCTCCCAAGCACCAGAAGGCAAGACAAGAAACTAATCGATGGAAACTAATCAAGGAGAGAAGCAACTTGGAACTAAGGAGAAACTTCCTGACTGTGAGAACAATCAATCGATGGGACAGAAGTTGTGGATGCTCCAATGCTGGAGTTTTTTAAGAAGAAATTTGACAACCATTTATTTGAAATGGTTGCAAAAGGCGATCACGTGAGACCTTGGGGGACACCCTGGAGGATCAAACTGCTGGCAGTTGGCAGAGTTAGCCTGCAATACTGCATTCTAACCATTGCACCACCACGACGTTAACCCAACAAGCCCCTCCCCCCCCATTCTTTGTTTTGCTGTTGGGAGAAATCTGGTTTAGAATAGAATAGAAAAACTGAAGCATTGGAAGGAAGGAAGGAAACAAGGAAGGAAACACAGAGTTGGAAGGGACCTTGGAGGTCATCTAGTCCAACCTCCTCCTTAGGCAGGAAACCCTACACCACTTCAGACAAATGGTTATCCAACATCTTCTTAAAAACTTCCAGTGTTGGAGCATTCACAACTTCTGGAGGCAAGTTGTTCCACTGGTTAATTGTTCTCACTGTCAGGAAATTCCTCAGTTCTAAGTTGCTTCTCTCCTTGATTATTTATTTGTTTGTTTATTTATTTATTTATTTATTTATTTATTTATTTATTTATTTTTGAATTTGTATACCGCCCTTCTCCCTAAGGACCCAGGGCGATGTACAGCCACATAAAAACATAAGACTACAAATATTAAAATACCATTAAAAATATATATATAAATTTGGCCCCATAATTAAAAACAGTAACAAACCAATTAAAACATTTAAAAAGTGTTAGGCCAGCCCGGCTTGCTGGAAAAAGAAAGTTTTAAGGGCACGGCGGAAGGCACCGATTAATTAAACCGATTAGTTTCCACCCGTTGCTTCTTGTCCTGCCTTCAGGTGCTTTGGAGAATAGCTTGACTCCCTCTTCTTTGGGGCAGCCCCTGAGATATTGGAAGACTGCTGTCATGTCTCCCATAGTCCTTTTCTTCATTAAAGTAGACATACCCAGTTCCTGCAACCGTTCTTCCTATGACCTTAGTGCCTTCCGCCGTGCCCTTAAAACCCACTTCTTCCAGCAAACCGGGCTGGCTTAAGAAGAAATTTTAAATGTTTTAATTGGTTTGTATTTTTAATTTTGGGCCAAATTTATATATATATTAATTGTTTTTTAATATTTGTATTTTATGTTTTTAATTCTGGCTGTACACCGCCCTGAGTCCTCAGGGAGAAGGGCGGTATATAAATTTAAAAAATAAATAAATAAATAAATAAATAAATGTTTTAGCCTCCAGTCCCCTAATCCTCTTAGTTGGCTCTTCTCTGCACTCTTTCCAGAGTCTCCGCATCTTTTTTTGGGGGGGGGGGGTTGTTTATCTCGGTACCCCAATTCCTTCTGCAGGGAACCCCACCTGGCTTTCTGTGCTCCAAAAGGGAGCAATTCCATTCGCCCTCCTCTTCTTTATTTATTGTTTATTTATTAGTTCGATTTATACGCCGCCCTTTCTCCGGAGACTCGGGGCGGCTTACAATGCGTTAAGCAATAGCCTTCATACTTTTGTATATACCTGCTTAGTAGGGCTTTCGGCCCACCCCCCCAAGCGGTGTTCTTTTTTTTATACAAAGTCACCTTATTGCCCCCACAAACCGGCTCCTCATTTTACCTACCTCGGAAGGATGGAAGGCTGAGTCAACCTTGAGCCTGGTGAGATTTGACCTTGCAGTCATTGCAGGCAGCTGGTGCTACTTAACAGCGCTTTAGTCTGCTGCACCACCAAGGCTCATTTGACTCCCCTTGACCTTCTCTTTCCCCTGCAGGTGTTTGTGCTCAAGGAAGGCATCAGCCAGCCGCTGCTCACAGCCCACATTAGCATGCCCGTGAGCGAAGGCTTGGCAGCTACATGAACCGCCTCCGAGGGGAGCTCTCCCGAGCTCTCGTCCATCTCAGCACAGTCTTTCTTGACCGTCTCAGCACAGCGACTGGGAACTGGGGGAGAGGAGTCCCAATGCCGGAACAAGTAACCTCTGCTCAAATGTAGAAAGAAGATTCCCGTTGGCTGTTAAGGAGCAACAACCCACACGCAGAGAGACCAGGTTAGAATTAGCTACCGAACAGCAGTCAGAGGTTAGGAGGCCAGAACAGCTCAATAAATTATATTTATCCTGCCGACTAAAGAAAAGGAGCATTCCCTGTTTAACAGGAACAGAACAGAAAATAGAAAGTAGAGACAGTGGAATGGAATGGAATGGAATGGAATAGAATAATAAAATAGAATGGAATGGAATAGAATAGAATAGAATAGAATAGAATAGAATAGAATAGAATAGAATAGAAAATATGGAATGGAATGGAATGGAATGGAATAGAAAATGGAATGGAATGGAATGGAATGAAATGGAATGGAATGGAATAGTAAATAGAATAGAAAATGGAATGGAAAATATGGAATGGAATGGGATCGAATAGGGAATAGAATGTGGAATGGAATAGAATAGAAAATATAGAATGGAATAGAATAGAATAGAAAATAAAATGGAATAGAATAGAATAGGATGGGCTTCAAAAATTTCTGCCCTGTTGCTGGGTCGGTGTGGCCTAGTTGGCCTCCTGCACCATCAGGGGAGGGGTTTGCCCTCCCCAGGCTCCAGAGGCTTTCCTCGAGCCTCCGGATGGGTGAAAATGGCCTCCCCAGGCTCCAGAGGCCCTCTGGAGGCCAGAAATGAACTTCCAGTAGGCCCGTTTTTTGCCCTCCCCGAACCTCCATGTGCGCTCTGCCCTTACCTCGCATCCAAACGGGCCACGTGGGGACTCTTGGGAGGGGAGGGGTGGAGTGGGCGGGGCCAGCCAGGAGTGGGATTTGGGGGGTTCTCCGAACTGCACAGAATTGTAGCTAGAGATTCTCTCGAACCCCTGCGAACCCCCAGCAGCCCACCCCCGAATAGAATTCTTTACTGGCCAAGTGTGATTGGACGCATGAGGAATTTGTCTTTGGTGCACATGCTCTCAGTGTACATAAAAAGAAAAAATAAAATATATTCGTCAAGAATCATTAGATACAACACTTAGTGATAGTCACAGGATACTAATAAGCAATCAAATCATACTAGGAAACAATAAAAACAATATAAATTGTAAAGATACAAGCAACATGGTTAAATAGCCATAAGTGGGAAGAGATTTTTTTTTTTTGCCCCAACGGTCAAAGTGGAGTTTGCGCTTTTCAGGCTTCCCTCTTCGACTTTGCGTGTCGGAAGGCGGCTGGGAAGGTCACAAACGGCCATTCACGTGACCCCAGGATGGTCATCCATCCATGCCAGTTGGCAAGCGGCCTGAATTTTGACCCGACGACCTTGGGGATGCTGCAGTGGTGGTATGCGCGAGGACCGGTCGTGACTCATGAGTCACTTTTTTTCAGTGCTATTGAAACTTTTAAACCATCGCTAAACGAATGGATGTAAGTCAAGGATGATCTGTCTATGGGATGTTCCCTTCTTCCCTCTGATTTCCTGAAAGCCAGGCTCTCTATTTCTCCTCTCTCTCTGTGTCTCTGTCACTCTGACTCTCTCTTTGTCTCTCTGTCTCTCTCTCTCTCACACACATAATCTGTCTCTCTCTGTCTCTCTCTCCCACACACACACTATCTCTCTCTGTCTCTCTCACTCTCTCTCTCTCTCTCACACACACACACATACATAATCTCTCTCTCTCTCTCTCACACACACACTGTCTCTCTCTCTCTGTCTCTGTCTGTCAGTCTATCACTCTGTTACTCTCTCTCATTCTCATTCTGTGACTCTGTTACTCTCTCTCTCTTTCTGTCTCTCTCTCTCTTTCTGTCTCTCCTTGTCACTCTCTCTCTCTGTCTCTCTCTCTGTCTCGCTGGCTCTTTCTCCCATCTGTCACTTAAAGCTTTCTTTTTTTCCTTCCTATTTTCTTCTTCTTCTTCTTCTTCTTCTTCTTCTTCTTCTTCTTCTTCTTCTTCTTCTTCTTCTTCTTCTTCTTCTTCTTCTTCTTCTTCTCCTCCTCCTCCTCCTCCTCCTCCTCCTCCTCCTCTTCTCCTTTCTCCTCCTCCTCCCCCTCCTCCTCCTCCTCCTTCCTCCTCCTCCTCCTCCTCCTCCTCTTCTTCATCTTCTTTTTTGCAACGACGGGAACAGCCACCTGCATCAAAAGCCTGGCAGCTTTTCTCCCTCTGTGTGGGCTTTTTTTTTAAAAAAAAATAATTCACACCCTTTTTCACACCAGGATGTGAATTCGAAGCTGACAGTCATAGTTTTCCTAGCAGTAACAGCTTGGTTTATGAGAAGAGAGCTCATTTCTCTTCTCTAAAAGCCTCTGTTTTTCTTGTAATCTGGGTATTTATTCAGCCTCCCTTCCCCTCCTGTCCCTTCCCCCATTTCAACCCTTTTAAAATTGATCCAAGTTGGGGACCTGGCCCCCAAGAACAGCTGCTGCTTTAAAAATGGCTGGCAGTTCTGACAGTCAACTTGCAAAGATAATTCAAGAAGATCAGATGCTCTAGGTAGAATGGGCGACTCGTCTGTGCCCTTTCCCCATTCAATAGAGTTGGATTTTAAGACTTATTTTTCCTTGGAGATGCTTGGAGAAGATTTAAGGCAGTGTTTCTTCAATAGGGCGACATTAAGAGGATGTTGGCTTCAACTCCCAAAATCCCCCAGCCAGCATGCTTTAAGATGGGTGGACTTCAACTCCCAGAATTCCCCAACCGGAATGCCTTAAGATGGGTGGACTTCAACTCACAGAATTTCCCATCCAAAATGCTTTAAGAGGGGTGGACTTCAACTCCCAGAATTCCCCAGGGGCTTGGTGGGCGTGGCAGGGGAAGGATACTGCAAAATCCCCATTCTCTCCCCACCCCTGGGGAAAAGATTCTGTAAAATCTCCATTCCCTCCCCACCCCAGGGGAAGGATACTGCAAAATCCCCATTCCCTCTCCACTCCAGGAGAAGGATTGTGCAAAATCCCCATTCCCTCTCCATTCCAGGGGAAGGATACTGGAGAATCCCCATTTCCACCCGACTCCAGGGGAAGGATTGTGCAAAATCCCCATTCCCTCTCCACTCCAGGGGAAGGATACTGTAAAATCCCCATTCCCACCCCACTCCAAGGGAAGGATTCTATAAAATCTCCATTCCCACCTCACTCCAGGGGAAAGTTACTGCAAAATCTCCATTTCCTCCTGATCATCTGGGACTTGGGAGGCAGAGAATAGATGGCGATGGGGTCAGTCAGAATTTTTACTACCGGTTCTCCAAACTACTCAAAATTTCCGCTACCGGTTCTCCAGAACTGGTCAGAACCTGCTGGAACCCACCTCTGGTCTATACCATATATATTCTTGCTTTTTTTTCCCTCCCCCCTCAACTGTGTTCAGGTTTAAATATGTATAAGTTAAAGAAACACGAGGTTGCCACATCAAATTAACCAACCGCACGCTGAGTCGGGACGCGCAGTGGAAACGAAATAAAACTATGAGAAAAAGAAACAAACAAACCCAAAGAAATAAAGACCTTGTGACTTTGGAGGTGTGAAAAAAAACAACCCCGGCACGTCTAATCGAAATAGAAAATGTAGGGGCAGAAAAGCCAAATGTCTTCATTTCTTAGCCAAAAGGGGTGGGAAGAAGAAGAAGAGAGGAACAAATGTGAAGAGGAGGATTTTTTTTTTTTTTTAATATATAGCTAATACATAACGAAAGACGGTTTTGATTCCAGAATTGGGTGCGGGGAGGAAAAAAACAAAGTCTGTTTTGATGAGAATCCCTTTTTTTATTCGTTCCGTACGAAGATTACCAGCGGCGCTCACTGTATTTTCACAACCTGCGTTCGTTCTTTTGATATTAGACATTCTGTCCATGCGTTTGATTCCGTTTCCATTCAGATATTCCTTTTCCCCCCCCATATCCGCACGCCTGCATGCCCGCATATACACAGAGAGAGAAAACAGCTGGGTTTTTCTACGGAAAGATTTTGCACCAAAATTGGGCGATTCGGTCCATCAACATCCTACAGTTGCACTTGGCAATTCTTACAAAAAAAAAAAAAAGTCACAGACCTCATCGGTTGCTCTTAAAATTAAGAAGAAGAAAAAAAAATCGAGGAAACCCTGCGTTTTAAAGAAACCCAAGAATAACTCGGGAGGAAAAAAATCAAAAGCTGCAGGCAGGCCCTGGAGGGCGCCAGGTTGCAAAAGCTTGAAAATTAATGGCACTGAGTGCTCCAAAGCGGTTGTCTTGAAGACAGACAGATGCACGCATACCATCATCTAGGACAGACAGCCGGTTTCTTTCCTCCCAAGTCTTTGAGGATAGCTGTTGTGACATACTGGGCAATCCCACAGGTGTTTGAATCCCTCTCCATCCGGAAATAGCCCTAACAGAAAATATACGAAGAGTTCAACTCAACTGTCAAGCTTTCCCTAAGCAATACAGCTAATCAATCAATTATCAATCAGAATAGAGCTGGAAGGGACCTTGGAGGTCTTCTAGTCCAACCCCCTACTCAGGCAGGAGACGGTATACCATTTCAGACTCTGGTCTCTTCTTAACAGCTTCCAGTGATGGAGCACTCACAGCTTCTGGTGGCAAGTCGTTCCGCTGGTTAATTGTCCCCGCTGTTTGGTTTCTACTGCGTTTTATGTCGATTTACGTCAGTGATGGGGACTGACGCTTTCCCTGCCCCCTAAACTGGGTTTTGGTTTACCCAACTCACTTCCCCAAGTTATCCGAGTGGAGAATATCCACAAGATCGTCTAGGCTAGCGTTTCTCAAGTTAAGCAACTTTCAGATGGGTGGACTTCGGCTCCCAGAATTCCCCAGGCAACTTTCATTGCTAAGGCGGGACTAGAACTCACTAATCTCCTGGTGATTGGGCCAAAGTCACCCAACTGCCTTTCATTGCTAATGCGGGACTAGAACTCACCATCTCCTGGTGTGGGCCAAAGTCAACCAGCCGCCTTTCATTGCTAAGGCGGGACTAGAACTCACCAAACTCCTGGTGATTGGGCCAAAGTCACCCAGCTGCTTTCATTGCTAAGGCGGGACTAGAACTCACCAAACTCCTGGTGATTGGGCCAAAGTCAACCAGCCGCTTTCATTGCTAAGGCGGGACTAGAACTCACCAAACTCCTGGTGATTGGGCCAAAGTCAACCAGCCGCCTTTCATTGCTAAGGCGGGACTAGAACTCACCGTCTCCTGGTGATTGGGCAAAAGTCCCAGCTGCCTTTCATTGCTAAGGCGGGACTAGAACTCACCGTCTCCTGGTGATTGGGCCAAAGTCACCCAGCTGCCTTTCATTGCTAAGGCGGGACTAGAACTCACCGTCTCCTGGTGATTGGGCCAAAGTCACCCAGCTGCCTTTCATTGCTAAGGCGGGACTAGAACTCACCGTCTCCTGGTGATTGGGCCAAAGTCCCAGCTGCCTTTCATTGCTAAGGGGGACTAGAATTCACCGTCTCCTAGTGATTGGGCCAAAGTCACCCAGCTGCCTTTCATTGCTAAGGCGGGACTAGAACTCACCGTCTCCTGGTGATTGGGCCAAAAGTCACCCAGCTGCCTTTCATTGCTAAGGCGGGACTAGAACTCACCATCTTCTGGTGATTGGCCCAAAGTCACCCAGCCACCTTTCATGCCCAAGGCAATACCAGAACTCGCCGTCTCCTTGATTTTTAGCCTGGTATACCATACCTTAAGAAGAGATTGAGCTGCCATTTGTCAGAAATGGTGTAGGGTCTCCTACTTGGGTGGGTTGGGGGTTGGACTAGATGACCTACAAGGTCCCTCCCACAAATCAGTGGAACTCAACCCACCTGTTCTCCCCACTTTTTCCCCCACGAGTTCTGGATAATCCAGTATGATCCACTCCAGGTACCACGTCGGATTTTGCCTGCAACCCAAAATATATATATATTTTGGTCATGGATGCTCATTTCCTTCGAACACCTATCAAGAAAGTTATCAGGTTTTTGAAGGTCTATATAATTCTTGTTAAATTGGACTAAACCTTTGAGCGTCCCAATTTTGCCCTCAGTGACTTGTTAGCTAACATCCTGAATTTGGGTAGCCACAGAACTTTGGCTTAATTTTGCAAAGTTTAAAACTTCCACCTCCTCCTAGGTTTGCTCCCAGGACTTTGGGATCCTGGTTAATTCTCGTTAATAAAACTTTGGTGGAAGTTTTCAGGCCACAGAATTCCGTTTCGAATGGATGAGTTCGAGTATCTTGTGTTTTATTGCATGGCATCCTCAACAATCTGCAGTAGTCCTCAATTTACGACCATTCAGCATTAAGCAAATGTCCATGGAGATTCTCGATCATCCTCCGGATCGTGGTTGTCCCAAGAGGCAAATGGACTTTCTGGGTTTTTTTTCTTTGAAGACGTTTCGCTTCTCATCCAAGAAGCTTCTTCAGCTCTGACCGCTCCCCGCCATCCAGTCAGAGCTGAAGAAGCTTCTTGGATGAGAAGCGAAACGTCTTCAAAGGAAAACCGAGAAAGTCCTCTTGGGGGCGGGGGGGAAAGCACATTTCGGTGTTGCTAAGCAAGATCGTTTTTAAGCAAATCTGCCTTTTCTCATCAACTTTGCTTATGAGGCTGTCTGGGCAACTCGCCATTGGCGATCATGTGACCCTGGGATTCTGCAGCCGCTGTTAAGTCCATGCCAGTTGAATTTTGATTACATGACGGGATGCTGCAATGGTCATAAGTGTGAGGACCAGCTTTGTCACTTTTTTCTGTGCCATTCTGACTTCGAACTTAAATAAATGGTTGTAAGCCCAGGACTACCTGTGAAATTCACACAGTAAGCTAAACCTCTCCCTTTTTTCTTTCTTTCTTTCTTTCTTTCTTTCTTTCTTTCTTTCTTTCTTTCTTTCTTTCTTTCTTTCTTTCTTTCTTTCTTTCTTTCTTTCTTTCTTTCTTCCTTCCTTCCTTCCTTCCTTCCTTCCTTCCTTCCTTCCTTCCTTCCTCTCTTTCTCTCTCTCTCTCTTTCTCTTTCTCTGTCTGTCTCTCTCTGTCTCTCTGTCTCTGTCTCTCTCTTTTTTTCTCTCTCTTTTTTCTCTCTTTCTCTGTCTCTTTCTCTCTGTCTCTCTGTCTCTCTCTTGTACAAACTGGTATTCCTCAACGTACAACCGTAATGGAGCCCAAAATGTCTATTGTTAAGTTGATGCAGCCGTTAAGCAGGTCCACTACATGACCGCATGCTGATTTTAGGACCGGTTTTTGTGGAAGTCATTAAACAGACAAACCATGATGGTTAAGCAAACACGGCAGTCATTAAACAAATCCATTTTATCCGATGGATAAAAAAAAAATAATTCTTGCCTAAAAGTGCAAAACCCATTGAAAATTGTGGCAATATGAACATGGGATTCTGCAAATCGCCATAAATGCGATCTAATTGCCAAGCGCCCACAATGAGATCTTGTGACTTTTTTGGGGGGGGGCATCAGGAGTACCTTCAGGGGGTGGGGGCTGTTGTAACTTCAGACGGTCACTAAGCGACCGGTCATTAAACGAGGACTTCTTGTACGGACTAAATCGGTTTAAAATTCTAAAGTTCGGACTTTGGGCGATTGCAACGTCTCCGCCAGAATTTTCTCACCTGAATGGTTTTTGGGTTCCTTCAAACTGGTGTTGGGATGTCCCACCTCAAAATTGGCGGGACGCTGAATGGAGAATCAAGCCAGGATCCAGTGGACCCCAACAACCAAGGAAACACGGCTTACCTTCACCGAAGCCAACTATCAGGACTACGTGGTCAAGCCAGTTGGGGTCACAGCTCCCCTCAGACCTCTGGATGATGCCTGTTTTGTAATGCTGCCCCACAGAGAGAATCCAAACAGACCATGATTAGCCATAGATGGATGATGTTTCAATCTTAGTTACCTCTCTAGCTCTCTTTTTCTCTGACTCCTTTCTGGAATCGCCTCCAGTGGCCAAATTCACACGTTTCCTCTGTATTTTGACCTGGTTTTTTTCCTGGATTTTCATAACGGCCACAAACTAACCCTGTGGCCTAGGTTTCTGCAGTACAGATAGTCCTCGACTTACGACCATAATTGAGCCCCAAATTTCTGTCGCTAAGTGAAACCAGTTAAGTGAACTTTGCCCTGTTTTACGCCCTTTCTCCCCATGGATGTTAAGGGAATCCCTGGAGTGATTAACTTATTAACACGGTTGTTAAGCGAATCTGGCTTCCCTCTTGACTTTGTTCGTCGGAAGGTCGCAAAAAGGGATCAACCGTCGTAAATGCGAGTCAGCGGCCAAGCGTCTGAATCCCGATCGCGTAACCACGGGGATGCTGCGACGGTCGTAAGTGTGAGAAACGGTCACTTTTTTTTTCAGTGCCGTCATTACTTCGGCCACGAAACGAACCGTTGTAAGTCGAGGACTAGCTGTACAGGAGCTGAGCCGAGTTCAAATTAACCCGAGTTAATCTGATCTGGGAAAAATGCAGCCTCAAATGAACCTAGGCAGCGAATTGGGAAGGGTGTCAGCTGGGGATTGAAATGTTCCTGGTTTGGACCGGATCACCCGATCCGGTAGTGATGAAGGTGGATGGTTCGGAGAACCGGTAGCAAAAATCCCTGCCCCTCCACCCCCCAATCATGCGCAATCATCAGAGGCTTTTTTTATTATTATTTTTAAAAGCATTTTTTCTACAACCTCTTTGGCCAAAAAAAATGCTTTTAAAAGTAAAAAAAAAAGCCTCTGATGATCGCGCGACTCAGCTGGGATCATCAGAGGCTTTTAAAAGCATTTTTTCTACAACCTCTTTGGCCGAAGAGGTTATAGAAAAAATGTTTTTAAAAGGAAAAAAAAGCCTCTGCCGATCAGATAACTCAGCTGGGATCATCAGAGGCTTTTAAAAGCATTTTTTCTACAACCTCTTTGGCCGAAGAGGTTATAGAAAAAATGTTTTTAAAAGGAAAAAAAGCCTCTGCCGATCAGATAACTCAGCTGGGATCATCAGGGCTTTTAAAAGCATTTTTTCTACAACCTCTTTGGCCGAAGAGGTTATAGAAAAAATGTTTTTAAAAGGAAAAAAAGCCTCTGCCGATCAGATAACTCAGCTGGGATCGTCAGAGGCTTTTAAAAGCATTTTTTCTACAACCTCTTTGGCCGAAGAGGTTGCAGAAAAAATGTTTTTAAAGGGAAAAAAAGCCTCTGCCGATCAGGCAAATCAGCTGGGATTGTCAGAGGCTTTTAAAAGCATTTTTTTTTTTGAAAAAATTGTTTTAAAAAAAAAAAGTTGGCCATGCCCACTCAGTCATATTACACACACACTCCCACCAAGCCACGCCAACAGAACTGGTAGCAACAAATTTTACATTTCACCACTGGTTTCAGCGAACGAAAACGTTCCTTTCTCCAGAATTTTAACACCCCCCCCACCCCGTTCTCACCTTAAGGATTTTTATGTTCATCAAAGCTGTCACAGGACCTTGGGTGGCTACAAAATTAGCAATATCTGGGAGAAAAACATCACAAATCAACGTGGAAGGCTTGGACAAGCCAATATTTAGAAGAGCAAAATCAGGATTTTGGAGCTAAGTTTATTTTCCCTCCTAAATAACAGGTCATCCTGGCCATACGACAGCTCGTTCAGTGACCGTTCAAAAGTTACGACGGCTCTGAAAAAAGTGGACTCGTGGCCGTTTTTCACACTTAACGACTGCGGTGGCCTCCCCACCGTCACGCGGTCAAAATTCGCTTGGCAACTGGCTCCTATTTGTGATGGTTGCAGCGTCCCGGAGGGAACATGGGATCAACTTTTGCGACCTTGTGATTCACTTTAACAACTTAACAACAGCAATGATTCGCCTAACAGCAGCGGATAAGAAAGGTCGTAAAATGGAGCAAAACTCACTTAACAAAGGTCTCAAGTTGGCAACGTAAATTTTGGGCTCACTTGCGGTCGTACGTCCAGGTTGTTCCTTGACTTAACAACCACCGCCATTGTCATTGCCAAGCAAGCAAGGCGGCTGTGAAGTGAGTCACGCCACATTTTTACCCCTCTGCCGAAATGGTGAAGCAAATCAAACAGGGTTGTTAAGTGAAACGGACAGCTGTTAAGCGAATCGGGCTTCCCCCATCATTAGCTTTGCATGTCAGAAGCCCGCTGGGAAGATCCCAAATGGTGATCCCATGATCCTGCCAAAGTTGTAAATAAATGCTGGTTTCCAAGCGCCCGAAATTTTGATCACGTGACGGTGGGAATCCTACGACCGTTTTCAATGTGAGGATCAATTGTAAGTCACTGTTTTCAGTGTCATTGTAACTTTCAATGGTCACTAAATGAAGGCACTTATCTTCTTTTAACGACCCCATAATCCCTTGCGGGGTGGAGTCTGGGCAACTGAATGGAGCTAGCATTGGCCGGATGCCTTTCCTGTTGCCAGTGAGGAGTTTTGTTCAGCAGATATATTTCTCAGTGTGCCCAGAGATAGAAATATCTGCCGCTACCTAGGATCGAACTCGCAGCCTCCTGATTGGGAGGCCAGAGCTGCACCTCTAGGCCACCCCACCACAATGGTTGTAAGACAATGACTACCTGAATTAAGCCACAATGTTCTTGTTGGTTTTGGGGGGGCATCATTTAAATGCACCCCTCGCGTTTAAATTGGTTGAACATGTAAAAGAGACTTTATCGGTTTGCAGATAAATGTTTTTATTCCTGCACCAATTTTTCCATCTCGAAAAAACCCACAACCCTACTTTTTCTGTTTTTTATCTTGACTAAACCTGCTAATTTTTCAAGAGCCTTATAATTCAGATGTCTCAATTCAGCTGTTTGCCATAGACACCAGGGGTGAAATCCAGCAGGTTCTGACAGGTTCGGGAGAACCGGTAGCGGAAATTTTGAGCAGTTTGGAGAACCGGCAAATACCACCTCTGGCTGGCCCCAGAGTGGGGTAGGAATGGAGATTTTGCAGTGTCCTTCCCATGGAGTGAAGAGGGAATGGAGATTTTGCAATATCCTTCCCCCAGAAGTGGGGTGGGAATGGAGATTTTACAGTGTCCTTCCCCTGGAGTGGAGAGGGAATGGAGATTTTGCAATATCCTTCCCCCAGGAGTGAGGTGGGAACGGAGATTTTGCAGTGTCCTTCCCCTGGAGTGGAGAGGGAATGGAGATTTTGCAATCTCCTTCCCCCAGGAGTGGGGTGGGAATGGAGATTTTGCAGTGTCCTTCCCCTGCCACACCCACCAAGCCACACCACGCCCACCAAGCCACGCCCACAGAACCGGTAGTAAAAACATTTGGATTTTCACCACCGACTTACACCTCTCGTCTCTTGGAAGTACGCTGTAACCATCAATCTTGGTTAGTTTTCGCCCCTTGTGTTTCTGGCAGCGCTGGTCTTTCTCCACGTAGGGGTAAAGCCTGCTTGATGATAATCCACCTGGAAAAGAAACCGAAGATGCTTCAACAAAAGAGGCAGATGAGAAAGACTTTTTAAAAAGTTTTATTACTCTTTATTATTTCGGAATTTTCCCTAATTCCCAAATAACTGCCTTGAAACTTTTAATATCCAGGCAGCTATAATTCACTAACCAAACTTGAGTTTCCTACTGCACAAAATCGAGCCTTCGGCCTACAAAGTAAGCCAAGTTGATCATCAAATGACAAATATGAAAACAGCTGCAGGAATTGGGTGTGTCTATATTAATGAAAAGAAGGACAAGGGGTGACTCAATAGCAGAAGTTCAATGTTTGAGGGAGTCAAGCTATTCTCCAAAGCACCTGAGGGCAGGACAAGAAGCAACGGGTGGAAACTAACCAAGGAGAGAAGCAACTTAGAACTAAGGAGAAACTTCCTGACGGGGAGAACAATTAACCAGTGGAACAGCCTGCCACCAGAAGTTGAGAGTGCTCCAACACTGGAAATTTTTAAGAAGAGTTTGGACAACCCTTTGTCTGAAATGGTGTAGGGTTTCCTGCGTGAGCAGGGGATCCGACTAGAAGACCTCAAGGGGTCCCTTCCAACTCTGTTGCCCTGTTATCTCTGCCTCTCTCACCTGTTTGCACAGAGAACCACCTTGGTGGGTTGTTGTGAGACTCCAACATGGGTTGAGCCATCACAGCCTGGAGTCCAATGGGGGGGGTGTAGTTGTGTGAACTCATTTAAACGCTACAACAAAAGAACACGACAAACTGGGATGTCCACATACTTTTGTTGAAGACATAGTGCAACGCATCCCAGACGTAGCCCCCTTCACAGCCTCCTCTGGAAGGGTAGGTGCAGTCGACGAGTTCTAGAGCGAAAGATAGAAAGAAAAAGAAAAAAATAAGATTATTTCGAAGAAGGTTGTCGGGCAGTCTAACATTAACAGCGTTGGAAAGGAAATTAGTCAGACCTCTGTACCACCAAGGCTGTCCCCACTCCCCAATCTGAGTTTGCTTCGCCATTGAGGGAACTACCCAGTGTTTCTCAATCCCAGCAATTTTAAGATGGATGGACTTCAACTCCCAGAATCCCCCAGCCAGCATGTTTTAAGAGGGATGGACTTCAACTCCCAGAATCCCCCAGCCAGTATGCTTTAAGTTGGCTGGACTTCAACTCCCAGAATCCCCCAGCCAGCATGATTTAAGATGGCTGGACTTCAACTCCCAGAATCCCCCAGCCAGCATGATTTAAGATGGATGGACTTCAACTCCCAGAATCCCCCAGCCAGCATG